GTCAGTCTTGCTCCCTCTGGGAGGTAAGGACCAGCGCTCCCAAGAACTGTCTTTGTCCCAAGATGGGAACAGTGGGAGGGAGAGAAATTCCTTAACTCAAAAATAGTTGAAGGCACCATTATCGTAATACAGGGCCAAGCTGGCATGAATTTTGAAGGATCAGCTCCTTCGGGCCACTGTGGCCCAGCGGGTCCCTCCCCCGCCCCCGCTGCCTCCGTGCCATGGTCACGCTGGACAGCAGGGCCCAGGGGTCCTGGCTGTGGGGGCCCATTCAAGACACTGGCAGAGAGGGGCACAGCCGCCGCAGCGAGGCCTCTCGTTAACCCTTCGTTTGTGACTTGTGACGCCTGGGCTTAGGAAGTGGGGGGATTGCTTGTTTCCTTTTTGGGGAGACTCCTGAGAGACCAGATGACATCTGCTACTTCAGCCCCGGGGGGCGGGGGGTAGATAGTTCCTGCTGCTGCTGACCACAGGCAGTTCCAGGATAGGGGAGGGCGGAGAGGAGGCAGACCTCATTTTCTTGTCTTTGTTAGTCACATATACATGTTTCTGGGGTGTTTCTATATATATGAAAGATACGAAAGTCATTTTGGGCAAGGAAAATGCCCAAGTTCCTACAGACAGAAAACTAAAATTCTTGGGCTGTTTGGGAAAATGTCTGAGTAAACACAGTGGTAGCTTCCCTGAGTCTTTCTGCTTCTCATGATTGAAGAAACATTTATAAACCTAAACAAAAAGTCTAGTAATGGAAAAACAAAGCTATCGTTCTGTTGTTTCAGAAATGTTTGAAGAACCATTTAAATGGAACAGAGCAGTTATCTGTTCTCTGATAACCACGAAGCAGCAACGAGGGAGATCTTAGATTCTCACTGGATTTTGCTCTTCCCTGAATAGACTCTGTGTTAGCTTTTAAGTGCTTTTGAAAAGTCAAGTATAGACCAAATTGTGCTTTTTAGTAATATTTGGGGTCCCGGGATCCACCCCTGAGCACTGGAGAGGCCAAGGGGTCATGAATCCAGAGGAAGAATGGTGTGTTTGGCCTCAAAGCTGCTGGCTTCTGTCCGCTGAGCCTAGCGGTAATGTGGCTTTTAAAGGAAAAAAAAAAACCACAACCATTTCTGGTGGAGGTTTTGTATATGAAAGGGTTGGATTCAATTAGTTCAGTGCATTCAGTTCCCTTTGAAGCCCCAGTCGTCCCAACACAACATGTTTTTCTAGTAGTTTTGGACTCAAAGAATGCTGGCTGCGGTCAGCGAACAGTGAGCAGCTGCGTGTTTAGGACTCACAGGAACGTGAGGAAATGGATCCACTTTACGTCAAGTATTTAGCAGCACGTTTAGTAACACAGCCTTCATTTCTTCCCACTTCTTTCCTGGAGTTCAGAGTTTTAGCTGCTCCCTCCATGGTTTTGAGTTGAACCGAGGGTAATAAGGCACTGGAAGGATCTGAAGGCTTGGGGGGCAGGTAATTAATCAAAAACCCCATCAGGCTTCATTTTCGTTGCTTTTATTTTTTTTTAAGCTTATTTCTTCTTTAAAACTTTAAAAATGGGAGATCCATGCCTCCCGTGTGGACATGGGGTCGTTCTTCCCCACACTGACAGGCAGGTCACTCCCCTCCGGTTTGCCTTCCTCCCTCTTGCCTATCGGACCGCCTCCAGGTAACCAACAGCTTTGGAGAGAATTTAAACTGGTTTTAACAATATTCTTTACAAAAGTTTACTTGGGAAGGTGAATCTGTTACCCAAAGATTTGAGGCCTGAATTCCAGAGCGCGCTGGAAACGGAGCTTGGATCATTGCAGACTCCCGCGGGCTGGCAGTGCCGACCAGCAGGGGGCGCCCTGGGGTGGGCGCACAGTCCCGGCTCACACCAGACACAGCGGTGAGGGGGGGGGCGGGGTGGGGGGGGCACGTGTGCTGGTGGTTCCTGAGGAACACTCGGGGTTCCTTTGGTAGCGTAGGTGGTGTTCTGGAGCTTCGTAGCTGTGTCTGGCGGTCATCTCAGAGTCTTTCGGCTCATTCGGTCCCGCGTCACTGAAGAGGCCTGTGACTGGCTGTCCCGCGGGTCCTGGGTCCCAGGGCTGTAGGCACAGGATGCCCGTGTCCCCCACTACCAACCCTGCGGCCTTGCCCCATCTGGCTGGGTGAGGCAGGCCCCTCTGACAGTCGGCAGGGCTTGGCGTTGACCGCAGCTCCCTGTCCAGTGCTCCTTCTGGGAGGCTTGCTCGTCCAGAGCTATGAAGTGCTGCCTTAAATACAGGGCGTGTGGGCTCAGGCCTAGCCAGGACCCCTCACCTGCATCCGAAACAATTTTATTCACTTTTGGGTAGGCCTGACTTCTAAAGTGGCTCTCTAAGGGTTGTTTAAATAGGTGTGTGTTCTCTTCTTTCTAGAATAGTTAGCAAACCACCTAAAGAGGAATGACTTCCTATGACATTTTGTAATAGTGCTTTTGTGTTGCTTCAGACTTAAATTTAAGTTGTATTTCCAAGCTCCCCATTTCTCACCTAAGAAAGCAAAACAGTTAAATAAAACCCACTTTGTGGGTTTTTTTAAGATTTTATTTTTATTTATTTGACAGAGATCACAAGTAGGCAGAGAGGCAGGCAGAGACAGAGGAGGAAGCAGGCTCCCTGCTGAGCAGAGACCCGATGCGGGACTCGATCCCAGGACCGAGACCATGACCTGAGCCGAAGGCAGAGCCTTAACCCACTGAGCCACCAGGCGCCCCACCACCTTGTTAATACAGCCTTAAAATGTTTCTGTAAAACAAAACCCTTCAGATGGACACTGAAGGAGAGTCATTCCCCTTCCCTCCATTGCTTTTGGCCTGAGTTGTCACTGAGAAAAACAATGACCTTTGGGGGCAAACAAGGTAGGTGGCAGTTACCTGCCCTTAACCAGACCTCTTAGCCCTTTCACCATGCCCTGCGGATGGATGTCAGGTTGGGACACGGCACAGATTCTTGGCTCTTTCTCCTTGACCTTGTGCCGGGCAGAATGAACATATTTGGAGCCACTGCCGGCCGTCAGTAAGAGCTGCACTCTTCCCCAGCGGGCTTGCAAGTGTATCCTACGAGCCACTGCAGATCAGTTGCTCTGTTTCTCAGAAGCCAAGTGTGGGAAACCTCTGCTTGGTCCGCGGCCATGTAGACGGGCCCTGGTGGGTCATGATAGCCGGAGAGGCCCGAGTCTGAATCCTAGGAGCCGTGCCTCAGAGCTCACCACACCCTTGGCCGCACGCCTCGGGCTGCTTCAGAGAACAATCGGAAGAACATGTTGGGTTCCAGAAAGTGTCTAAGTTTAAGGTAGGCCACCGCAAATCCTAAATAAAAGATGGGAAGGTGGTGCTGTTGATTGGGGATCATGGAGCATGTTGAACTCAGGTAAGAATATAAACTGGTAATAGTAATTATAGACCAAGAGGCCAGCAAACTGTGTTCCTTCTATGATCTCCATTGTTTTCTTTAGCTCAGTTTTCTTTGAGAAAAAATTTTACACATAAGAAAAATAACACATTAAGTATGTAGGTGGATCATTCCAGAAAATGTGTGTGCCGCTCTCCTGCATTCCAAGCCGGGTCTGCCGGCGGTGGCGTTGGGCTTCTCCCCGCCGAGCCGGTCATCGACGTCACATGTTACCTTGTCCTCGCTCCACGTCTCGCCGAATCGCACGTGGTGGGACCCGGGGGTGCGTGCTCCTGGGACACAGAGAAGGCTGTGTGCCGGCGGGGTTGCGCGGAGCCACTCTGTTCACTAGCGTCCCATCAGATTTCACTGGACACACAAGGTCAAAGATAAAACTGTTAGAATTGTCAGCTTCTGAGCACTGATTCCACGGTGCACGCTGGCACGTTGCAGGGACGTGTGCTCGCGCTGCGTAGACACCTGGGGGTGCCTTCTGGGTGAGGACAGAAGCGGAGCCCGGAGTGGAGCCGGGCCCCGGCCGCCGCCTCCCGGGCCCTCTGGAGCAGGGAGGTGATCCTGTCGGGCAGCTGAGGGCGGCAGGCAGGGAGGGGACTGCCTCCTCCAGGAGCTGGGGGGAGCCTGCATAGGGCGGGAAGGGGTGAAGGCAAACATACCTGCTCTGTCGGCTGTAACCGGGCACCCGTTAGGTCACTCGTCTCAGTTTCCCCATCTGTGAAATGGGCAGAACCTAGAGAGTGCGGGGATGTCCCACTGAGTGTTAACTTGAGAATGTAAGTGGGGCCTGAGCGCTCAGCTCCCCGAGGCAACATCATTCCTGTTCCACCCCCGAGCCACGGGGGCCTCTTTGTGGTGAGGACTCGCGGCACCTTCTTCCCGGGCTCGGCCCTGCCGGTGGCACACGCGCTCCCCCCACCTGCGGCGACAGGCGCCCCTCTCTGGCTGTGGGGCCGGGCCTCCCCGTTCCCATCCGGCCCGGCGCCGGAGCCCCTGCCCTGACCCGGTTCAGGGATTTTACAGCTGTTTCTTTCCAGACTTTCAGAGAGGGCCTGGGGGTGGGAGGGGACGGTCCTGTCACCCTCGCGGGTCACTTTGTTTTAAAGGCAGCAAAAGAACTGCCTTACAGTGGTCTGGCATTGAAAAATGTCTTTGTAAGCTGCCTGGCACGGCCGGTTACCCAGACAGCGCTCGGAGGACCCCGTGTGGCATCAGGGACCATAGAGCGCTTGTTTGTCTCACGGACCCCTGAGGGGCAGAGTGGGAGGGGACAGCGGAGCGGAGACCCTCACTTCTTGATTTCAAAGGCGCCGCCGCCCGTTCGTGCAAGAAAGGTGCTCGGGGAATCGTTTCCGGGGCGGTCAGTGGGGCCGGGGAGGGTCGCCCGGCAGGAAGCCCCCGTCGTGGCTGTAAAGCAGCCCCTGAGCCGGAGAGTGACGCATCAAAGCGGCCACAGGATGCGGCCCGAGCTGTCCCCGGCAGGCCGCCCACCAGCCGATCGAGCGGGCGGGACGCGAAGCTCCAGGCCGGCTCCGCTCAGAGTTCAAGGCCCTTTGTTTTTTCACCTGTTTCCTCCAGTTCCGAGACACTTCTGAGGAGCTGACGTGCCACTGTAGCAGCCACGGCCGACTTCTGCAGGGAAGCAACGCTGGGCCAGGGAGGGCAGAAGCAGCCGCTCGCCGGAGAGGCGGGACTGGTCTACGGGGTAAGGAAGGGCCGCTCCGTGCACGGTCCTTGCACGCGGCCGCGCTAGGTCACCCCGGCTGCCGGCGGCGGCGGCACACGCGGGTCCCCAGGGGTGGCGGGCGGCGCGGGTCACGCGGGGCCCTCGTGCCCCCGAAGCCCAGCCCCTCCCAGCCTCAGTGTGACAGCGCGGGAGATCATGTTGGCCGCAGCGACGACAGCCTGAGGTGACAGCTTCACCGACACGGCCCCGCATCGTGACACTCTGATCCACGCCGGACGGGGTGTCTGCGGAGGCTCCTGTACTGCGAGGCCGTTCTCGTGTTCGAGCCGGTGTGCTCGGGGGCCTCTGCAGCTCCATCTCGCGGTCAGCACGAGCCGTTTCGCGTTTTTCGTCCTGTTCCCGGGTCGCCTGGGCTTCTGCACCGGCCTCGGCGCGCGGGGCGGTTGCAGACTGAACTAGCGTGGTACGGCTTCGGCCGAGCCCTGCCTTTTACGCTCTTGCCACCAGGTGGCTAAGAAAAAGATGAAGCAGGAAAAATTCAACAATTAGGAAATGACTTGTAATCACTTCTAATTCCTGCTTCGGCAGTGAAATACGAAACTAGAGGCCGGCTGTGTCTGAAGCCTGACAAGTGCCAAGCACGGGACAGGCAGCTCCTGCGGCGGCCGGAGGGGCGCGTCCAGCAGCGGTTGTTTTCCTAAATACTGACCGTGCTGAACGAGCCGCATTTTGCTGAAGTCAAACTTCGTGAAACTCTGAGCCTGTCCCACTCGCTGCTGACCCCCGGCTGTCCACAGTCCTCCCGACCCGTTGGGTTTGGGACTGGGGTTCAGTTTTTGGGCTTTTCGGTTCCAAGGGAAGGAGCTGACAGCCCCGCACGGCAGCGGCCTCCTGCTCAGCCTGGACACACGGATGACGCCGCTGGCAGAGACGGGGCTCGGGGGCATTCAGAGTCGGCTGGAGGACCCCAGAGTGAAATGGGCCATGCTGAATGGTAGCATCCCACGTGTCTCTCTCATTAATTCTGTAGGGACATCCATGCATTGTAGGGATGGTGACGTAACAGGGTAGAAAACACTTTAGACTTCTCCTTCGGCGGCGTCCGTTAGAGGGAAGACAGCATCAGAAGACCGGGACCTACTCTGTGGCATTTAAAGAGAATGGCAGATCTCATCCCGCGAGCACAGAACCCCACCGGTTCGCTGGCCGGTGCGTCTCGTGGTGCTCAGCTTCTCCTGCGCCTTCCAGGCTGCCCTCCACTTCTCCCATTTATTAACTTTGACAAGTCATCTCTTCGTCGTACACGATTTTATTCACAATTTGTTTTTCTGATTCAAAGTGAACATGAGTGCCTTAATCCGCTAATGGGAATTAATTGCTTGTTTTAGTGCTTAACTCAGTCCCCACAGGGATGAGTTTCTTCCTAAGGATCTGTATTTGTTCAAAACACAATCAGAAAGGCAATGATGTTTTTCTTGTGAAAGGAGCCAGAAATGCAAAATGTTCATTCTTTTTTCTTTTCTTACGTAAGTGGTAAAGGATACAATTCAATAGACGAAATGTTGACTATTATAATTTGGTCATTCTAGCAGGCTGCATTAGTTCCTAGAAAAGTTTATTGTCAGGTTTTCTTTCATGAGAAGAAATTATCTTCTGCAGAAGAAAGCTACTGGACTGATTTTCCACGAGTTGAAGTTCACAGCCTGCGGTCTAACCAGGCTCATTTCGATGTAGCACCACCTTCCTGCGCTTTCTTGGCTCTGAAAAATCATCAAGGCCCAACTAGTAACTGAGATGGCCTGGTTCCCTCTCCCGTTTATTATGCAGAATATTCATTGTTTTATTTCTTTAAGAGGCTTCACTGAGAGGCATATCAGTTAGTAGATCTTTTTATAAGAGCTTGATAAAGGGAGGGGATGGGGTGGAGAACCGAGGAAAGGACATTCACTGGGTGCTGAGGCCATGGACACATCGGCAATCAGTAGAGACAGGGATTCGATTCAGGCCTGTCACCGTGCATTTCTTTTCTCTTACCGGGCACTGCGATCTCCCACGTCCATCTCTGAACATGGAGGCTGCCCTGCCTGACCTTGTTCCCCACAAGGGCTGGGTCCACAGGGCGGGCCTGGTCGGCCATCAGTGTCCTAGAGGAGGCCGACCTGGGGGTATGTCCTGTACCTTAAAACAGAGACAGAACCACTTCTAAAGGTCACTCTTTGGTTTCCTCTGGAAAAGCCCAAGCGGCTCACCTTAGTATTTTATCTGAGACTCTGACACGGCTGAAACATAGGAACGTATGAGCTTCGGAGCGGCAGTGCCACCCCTCCCAACCCGAGTGAATCACAGGCGTGTTGTTGGTTAGCCCTGGCTGGGGTTCTGAGAACATCTGGCCCAGGTAATAGACTTTTATACATGTCCTCTTGGCCGTGACCCTCACAGTAGCCCCTGGACATGGGGTGAACATGTCAGACAAAGAACAGAAGAAAAACAGCACTGAAAGCCAGCAAAAGGAAGGAAAAAATAGAGATTGGAGCAGAGATAAAATATAGAAGAACAACAGAGAAAAATCAGCAAAATTGGCAAACACTCAATTTATTAAGAAAGATACAAATAAGTCAGAAATGAAAGAGGGGACATTACAGCCCATTTAATAGAAATAAAAAGAATTACAAGAAATAGCTGTACGCCAAGAAACCGGAAAGCCAGATGAAATGGATCATTCTTAGAAGCACACCCCACCGAGATGAGCTGTGATGAAACAGAAAATCGAAGCAACTCATAAGCAGAAAAGAGATTGAATTAGTAATCAAAACCTCTTAACATGGGGCACCTGGGTGGCTCAGTGGGTTAAAGTGTCTGACTCCTGGTTTCAGCGCAGGTCGTGATCTCATGGGTCATGCCTGCGATTCTCTCCCTCTCCCACCACTTGCACACTTTAAAAACAAAGACCAGAACCAGAGGGCTTCACTGGTGAATTCCACAAAATCTTCCCAAAAATAGAAGAGGAAGGAACACTTCCAAACGCATTCAATGAGACAGCATTCTCTGTTACCAAAACCACAGATTCATATCCCTGCGAATTGATGTAAAAATTCAAAACAACCTATTAGCAAACAAAATTCAGCAATAGAAGAGGATAATATATCACGACCAAGTGGAGTTTACCCAGGAATGCAGGGGTGGTTCAACGTTAGGAAAATCAATGTAATACACATTAACAGAATGAAGGAAAAAAAGTTTGACAAAATTCAACACCGGTTTGTGGTAAAAACACTTGAACTAGGAATAGAAGGGAACTACCACAATATACCACAATATAATAAGGGCCATATATGAAAAGCCCCATACTCAGAGATGAAAATCAAAGTTTCCCCCTTTAGGACCAGAAACAAGACAAGGATGCTTGTAATTTTACCACTTTTTTTTTTAAAGAGTTCATTTATTTATCTGACAGAGATCTCGAGTAGGCAGAGAGGCGGGCAGAGAGAGGGGAGGAAGCAGGCTCCTTGCTGAGCAGAGAGCCCGATGCGGGGCTCGATCCCAGGACCATTACCTGAGCCAAAGGCAGAGGCTTAACCCACTGAGCCACCCAGGTGCCCTGTAATTTTACCACTTCCATTCAACACGTATTAGAAGTCCTGCCTAAAATAATCAGACAAGTAAAAGTATAAGAGATATCCAAATTGGAAAGGAAGAAGTAAAATTATCTCTATTCACACTATCTTATATGTAGAAAGCCCCAAGATTTCCACAAGAATACTGTTAGAATAAACAAATTTAGTGAAGTTGAAAGATACAGAATCAGTGCACAAAAATTAGTTGCATTTCTATATATTAACAAAGAAAAATCTGGGGCACCTGGGTGGCTCAGTCGTTAAACTTCTGGCTTCGGCTCAGGTCACGATCCCAGAGTCCTGGGAATGAGCCCTTCGTTGGGCTCCCTGCTCAGCGGGAAGCCTGCTTCTCCCTCTCCCGCTCCCCCTGCTTGTGTTCCCTCTCTCGCTGTGTCTCTCTCTGTCAAATAAGTAAATAAAATCTTTTCAGACAAACAAAACAATGAAAAATCTGAAAAGAAAATATAAAAACTAATTCCTTTTATAGTAATATCAAAAAGAATAAAATACTTAGGAATAAACTTAACCAAGGAGGTGAGAGACTTATACACTGAAAACTACAACACATTGCTTAAAGAAATTAAAGACAATAAATGGAAAGATAACTCATGTTAATGGATTAGAAGACTATTGTTAGGATACTAATCCTGCCCAAAGTGAACTCCAGGTTTAATGCAACTCTTATGAGAATCCCCAAAGGTGCATTTTTGCAGAAATAGAAAAATCCATCCTAAAATTCATAAGGAATATCCAGGGACTCCAAATTAAGCAAAGTAATCTTGAAACATAACAAAGTTGGAGGTCTCCTACTTCCTGATTTCAAAAAACTTACTGCGCAGCAACAGCAATCAAAACCAGTGTGGTACTGACATAAAGACACACATATACATAGACCAATGAAAGACAACAGAGATCCAGAAATCAGTCGTCGCATATACAGTTCAGTGATTTTTTGACAAGAGTGCCAAGACCAATGGGGAAAGGACAGTCTTTACAACAATTGGAAAACTGGCTATCCCTATCCAAAAGAACGAAGTTGGGCCCTGACTTTAATTTTTTTTTTTATTTGACACAGAGAGAGAGATCACAGTAAGCAGAGAGGCGGCCGGGGCGGGGGGGCGGGTAAGCAGGCTCCCCACTGAGCAGAGCGCCTGATGCGGGGCTCGATCCCAGGATCCTGAGATCATGACCTGAGCCGAAGGCAGAGGCTTAACCTACTGTGCCACCCAGGCGCCCCTGGGTCCTTACTTGAAACCACATACAAAATTAACTCAAAATGGATCAATGACCTAAATATAAGAGCTAACACTATAAAAACTTGAGAAAACATAGGGCGTTAAGTTTCATGACACTGGGTTTGGCAGTGATTTCTTGGATATGATACTCAAAACACAGGAAACAGAA